CAAACCAATAGGTAACATATCTGTGAAATACAGGGCACGGGGCTATTTGCTCTTACTCTTATCAGGGCCACTGACCCTTACATCCTGAGCGTGGGTGTTGGGGACAAGGGGCTACTTACTCTTACTCTTTTTTTTTAAAGATTTATTTTTTTTTATTATTTTAAAGGCGGATATACAGAGAGGAGAGACAGAGAGGAAGATCTTCCGTCCGATGATTCACTCCCCAAGTGAGCACAACGGGCTGATACTATGCCGATCCGAAGCCAGGAGCCTCTTCCGGGTCTCCCATGCGGGTGCAGGATCCCAAAGCTTTGGGCCGTCCTCGACTGCTTTCCTGGGCCACAGGCAGGGAGCTGGAAGGGAAGCGGGGCTGCTGGGATAGAACTGGCACCCATATGGGATCCGGGCGTGCAAGGCGAGGACTTTAATCACTTGCGCCACTGCGCCGGGCCCATTGCTCTTACTCTTATCAGGGCCAGCAGGGACCCATTGAAACTTACAACCTAGGCCCGGGTGTGGGGGACAAGTTATTTGTAAAAACTTCTTCTTTTTACTTTAAATTCAAGCTGCTTCTGACTTATTCAAACTACCTCTAATATTTAGGCTTTCTAACATTTTGGTTGCCTCTAACACACTATCCTATAACATGCCAGGAAACCCGGTGCAAATGATATGATCCAGGAAAAAGCAAGCCTGGCTACACAATGGACATGGCTATCTTTCATGGAGAAGGAGGGAATCAGGAAATGAGAGGCTTAAAGTCTGGGGTCCTACTTTGTCCATCAGGCAGCATCAAGCATTTAAGCTTGGAGTGGGGAATGCTGCTCACTGAGAAGGCCCTGCCAAGGCGACCAGGGCAGGACTTAAAATTCAACCCATCTATAGGCTTATTTGTAAGTTGATAATTATGTATGGCCAGTGAATTATAAATATCCAAATGGGGGCCCGGCGCGGTGGCGCAAGTGGTTAAAGGTCTTCACCTTGCACGCCCGGGATCCCATATGGGCGCCAGTTCTAATCCCAGCAGCCCCGCTTCCCTTCCAGCTCCCTGCCTGTGGCCTGGGAAAGCAGTCGAGGACGGCCCAAAGCTTTGGGAACCTGCACCCGTGTGGGAGACCCGGAAGAGGCTCCTGGCTTCGGATCGGCATAGTATCGGCCCGTTGTGCTCACTTGGGGAGTAAATCATCGGACGGAAGATCTTCCTCTCTGTCTCTCCTCTCTGTATATTCGCCTTTCCAATCAAAAAAAATAATAAAAATAAATCTAAAAAAAAAAAATATCCAAATGGTCCCCAGCAGAAAAAAAGTTTTCCCATTCCTGATTTTAACATGTGAGGGGCTGGCTCAACAAGCTAATCCTCCACCCCGGGGTGCCAGCAACCTCTATGGGCACTGATCTTAGTCCCACCAGCTGCTTTACTTGCAATCTGGCTTCCTGCTAACGGCCTGGGAAAGCAGTGGAAATTGGCTCAAGTCCTGGGAATCCTGCAACCATGTGGGAGACTGCAAGGAAGCTCCAGCTGAGCTCTGGCCACTGCAGCTATTTCAGGAGTGACCTAGCAGATGGAAGCCCTCACTCTATCTCAGTAAAACTGCCTTTCAAATAGAAATAAATAACGCCTAAAAGAAATAACATGTGGGAGCACAGTTTATCATAAAGTTTTAACACACAGCCTTTTATTTAATCTCACAACTACCCTGTTAAGTCAGTAGGGCAAATTTCCATATTCCCATATGGTAGATGTCAAGAAACTCAGGGGTCAGAAAAGTTAAAGAATTGGTTTAGTGTTTAGCTACTGGATGGGGGGGCGGGGGGAGGCAGAACTGCTTAATGGCTTAATGCAAATCTCCCTGGCTTCAAATGGCATGGCCTTTCGATGAAAACGCGCTGCTTTTGCACAAACTTCAGTTAGCCTCACATCAACAGAGTAACTGGACTAGCGGTGAACTGTTTACTACTCCTGAGTATCAGATAGGAGCGGAAAAAATGCCAGGAGGAAGGCGGGTTTGAATGGAAAGGGGCTGGCGTCGGGACAGGGACCCTATGTTCTCTGAAAGAGAAAAAGCTGCAGAAGCCACTCTCACTGGAGGGCAGTAGATACGAACGGGGGGGGGGGGGGGCGGAAGGCACTGCCACCTCTGGAGTTTCTGTAGGAGGCTGGCAGGGCCAGGTACACTCAGCTCCATCCCCCCCCCACCCCCCACCCCCCGCCATGCTTGCCCTGAAGAGACGGGTGCCGTTAGGGCTGGGTCTAGGGTTCCAGGCATCCGGTGGGGGTATCTTAGGAGCAAGCCAGGAAGTAACTCTCCTGGGAGACAAAGCCACGAGGGGTATTCGCGAAAGGCAGTTACAAGTGCGACAACTGTGCTGCAAGCTAGAATAAGGGCAGAGGCGGAGAGGCACTGAGGTCAGAATGCCAGGGCGGGGTGTGGGGGAAAGGGCGCAGGCGCTCACAGGGCCACGGTGTCGCAGCGGAACGGAGGCTGCACCTTTTCCAGCCGCCCCTAGTTGGGTCCAGAGGAAGAGTTCAGTTGAGTTGAAAAGGGGGTGTGGACCGAGAAAGAACACGCCACTCCCGGCACGGGAAGGGGGCGTCAAAGAGCACTGTGAGCTGAAGGATGTGACTGGGCTCTCCGCTAAGAACTGAAACAGCGCTCCCGGCTCCCAGACTCGCCTCAGTTTTTTCCTTACCTTGGGTACCGTGAGAGGATCCATGACGACAATTCCGGCCACCGAGTCCTTTAAGGGAACTCTAACCGCTGCAGCCTCTCCCTCCACCTTCTGGCCCAATTCCGGCTCCTACCCCCGCCCTTCCAGAGCTGATTTCCAATTCTCGCACCAATCCTCGCGGAAGCTCTTATCGCGATACTTCACCAGTAGCCACTATTACCATCTTGCTTCCTGGCAAATGCCCTTTCTTCAGAAAGTGGATTTTTGTGACCCAAACTCGATACTTGCCCGTATCTTGAAGCCCACATTGGAATATTGCAGGGACCAGGAGTTTCTTCTGGGGCCCGAGGTTTAGGCCATCTTCTGTTGCTATCGCAAGAAGCTGGATCTTTACTTCAGATGCGATGTCAATGTTGCAAGTGGTGGCTTAACGGATCGGTACAAAACGCCCCATGACCTTTTTTTGCATTCGTATTTATAATTAAACAGGCTTCTGAGAGTTCTACTTGTGTATTCCTGTTAGCAGGAATTAAAGACATTATAATGTCAAACTAACTCATCTTTTTTATTTACTTGGCTTTGTTTGTTTGAAACAGTTGCAGATAGAGTAACAGAGCTCTTGCATCCACTGGTTCACTTCCCAAATGGCCATAATCGCGAGGATGGAACCAGGATGAAGCCAGGAGCCAGGATCTTCTTCTGAGTCTCCGAAGCTGGTACCTGCTTTGATGCCTGCGTTACAGGCTACAGCTTAACCCATCCTTATACCGAAACGCATGACAAACTCCCTGAACTACTTTCCTTCATTGATCTTCATTGTTCCTGTACCAATATCAGGCTGTGTTGATTACCACTGCCCTGTAGTATGTCTTGAGATCTGTAATTGTAATTCCCTCAGCTCTATTTTTGTTATCCAAGATAGCTTTGACTATCCAGGTTCTCTTGTGTTTCCAGGTGGATTTTTGTGTTATCTTTTCTAGCTCTGAGAATAATGTTGTTGGGGTTTTGAGTGGAATCACATCGAATCTGTGCTTTACTTTCGGTAATGTGGCTATTTTGGTGATGCTGATTCTTCTGATCCAGGAACATGGTAAGTTTCTCCATCTTTTAATGTCTTCTGTTTCTTTTTTTTTTTTTAATAATTTTAAGCATAAAGGTCTTCCATGTCTTTGGTATTCCAAGGTATTTATGATTCTTCTCTATTATTTGCAAAGAAACTGTTCTTACAAGTTCTTTTTCAGCCGTGGAGTTGTTTGTGTATACTAGGGCCATTAACTTATTTTCACTGATTTTGTGCACTGCTACCCTGACAAACTCTCTTATGAGTTACAATATTCTCTTTACTGCATTTTTAATTCTCTTATGTAGAGAATCATGTCATCTGTGAACAGAGATCATTTTAATGCCTCATTTCCAATCTGAACTCAATTAATTTCCTTTCCTTGTCTAATACCTCTGTTGAGGATTTCCAACATGATGTTGAATAGCAGTGGTGGACGTGGACATCTTTCTCTACTTCCAGATGTTAGTGGAAAAGCTTCCAGTCTTTCCCAATTCAGTATGTTTCTGTCATTGGATTTTTCACATATTATGTTAATTGTGTTATAAAATGTTTCTGCACTAGTGAATGCTCAATGAATACTTGTTGGGTGCTTGGATGACAATAAATGACTCTAGATTCCAGCCATTATAGGCCAGTTGACTAAAGGGAAGGAGTCTGGAGGCAAAGAAACTTAGACTGTTATGCTCATCCCAAGAAAGTTGTGAACAGGGAATATGTTTTTCCACTTTGTCCATACAACTCAGTGAGATTAGCTAACATGTGAGATACTATTTGCTACAGCCGTTCTCACTGGGCGTGTTTTACATCCAAACCTCCAGTCCAGTTATTGTCCATTTGTGTTCTCCTTCCATGGAATTCCTACTATTGAAGGAGGGGGGGTTGATGGTCTTCCCACCTGGGGAGATTTTACTTCGTCAAGGAAGTAAGTAATTGTAGTTTTCCCATCATCTCACTAGCTATAGGTATAGCCTCAGAAAGCTACTGTTAGAGGTCTTTGATGGTATAGATTATGATGTCAGTTTGAGGTCACAGAGCCTTTGTGATGTCACTTCTGTTTGAGAGTCAGCATAATCACAGCAGAGGATAGCTGTGGCATAATTTTACACAAGTCATCAAGACAATTTTCCCTTCGGTGCTAAGGAGACAACATACGAAATAGACTTTTTAGCTTATTTCAATCTCAGCTTGTTGGACATTTTGGGTCAACTATAGATAAACTTCCTTTGTGGACCATCACTCTGTCTCCTAGAGACAGTTTACATGAATCATGCAGTGCATAAAAGATATCAGCCAAGAAGTCTGGCAGGACTGTATCACCCTCTTTCTGCAAACTGGAGTGTGCAGTGATGCAGCAATCATCACAAACGCCCCACCCTGGCTATTAGCTTCCTATCCTGCCGGCAAGTTGCATCAATTGACCCAGGAAGAAATTCAGATCCTGTTGGCAAAAGATGATAGAGAGAAGCTGTTTCTCCAGGGGATTACCCTCATGGGAACCAAATGCTTAGTGATCCGGGACAATCTATATACTGAGGGAAACAATTGCATGGACCTGCGCACCAAAGGCCAGAGTTGGGGAAGCCAGGCAGTGACAGTGGTTCAGATTGAAACTGTATACCTTGTGGTAATGGGACAAAAAGGAACAGAAGGAGGGCCTCTCAACCTCAAAGCTTTTGAGATGGCAGGTTACATCAAAGAAGCCATTGAGCAACACATGGCTCCCATCTAATTAAATAAAAAAAAATGTTGGTGATGGACCTGTAATTTGAATTCAGTGTTATGTTTTTCACATATTCGTAAGAAAGAAAGATCTCAAACCAGGTGGAAGTAGGCCTGTTTCAACGAATGATGATCATGGGAGTGTGTGTTGAGGGGTTGCCTGTTTAGTATTATGGATCAAGCAGGAACTGGCTCCCAAACTCATGAAAATATTAAGCCCGGAGTCTTAGATTAATAGTTAATGGATTGAATGTGGAGACTTGAACTAATCAGGGCCTCTGAAAGATGATCTGGTGAGAGGTATTTATGTGACTGCAGTCTTGCTCTTAGCAGGTAGTTCCTTAGACAGAAGTAGTTATATAAGCTGAGTATGCTTCCAGTGTCTCTCTGTGCTTCCTGAATCACCATATGACTGTTTCCTCAAACAACTGCCAACTATTTGAGACATTAAACTATAGAGCCATCTGATCTCGGTGTATGAACCTCCAAAGTGTAAGCCAAAATACATTTATCCTTTTTCAAAGAAGCTCTTCTCTGGTATTTTAGTTAAATTATCCGAAATCTAACTAAAATAGAAGATGAGTGGGTCTTTCAAGCATTTTAGCTTCTGGGCTTTTGAAAACTACAAACCATTTTGCTCAGTGAAATAAGTCAGTCCCAAAAGGACAAATAACATATGTTCTCTCTGATATAAGGCAACTGTCATGCAAAATATAAACTCAACAGCCCTTTCAATACTGTTTTTGCTATAGTCCATAGGTTTTGACATTTTGTTTTCACTTTCATTAAAAATAGTTTCTTTTCTCTTATTAAATTCTTCATCGACTCATAGATCATACAGTAATAACATTTTCTCCAAAAAGGGTTTTTTTTTAATTTTCTGTTTTATTTCTTCACTGACACATTAATCATTCTACAGCATGTTGTTTAACTCCATAATGTTGTACATTTTTAAAAACATTATTCCTATTGTTGATTTTGTTCTATGGCTTTTTATTTAAGGGGATGTATAATAACTATTCGATTTTACTTATTGCAGTTGGTACACAGCTCTTTGTTTGCAGTCACTTGTGCCACTCCTTCCAGCGAGTTCCAGGTCTGGGCTCTTATGTTAGATTTCTACCATGATCTCCGTAGCCTCAGCTCATGGCCTACCAGTCTCCACCTCCTGTGATACCATGCTGAAGCTGCACTGTTGTCTGTACAACCTTGCTCTGCTCCCACTTCCAGTTGGAGCAATTTCCAGGATTAGGGAGACAGCAGGTGTCCTATATAGGTACATTTTTTTTTTGAGGGTACAATGAGGATTAGATCTTTATTATTTATGGGAAGTACCAATAACAGTGATAAAAAGTGAAACTGATCATCTCAAGTGATTATAAACAATCAGCCTCTTATGGATGGTTGATTAATGAATTACACTGCAAAAATCTCATTACAGAATGTACCAGTAAGTACGAAGTGACATGGAATAAGATTCACATATAATATACCTAAATTTGATATTATCTAATATTAGAGCAAACATGTGATATCAGACCTTTGGGGATTGGTTCATTTCCCTTAGCATAATGATCTCTAGTTTGACCCATTTGGCCAGCTTTGGAACCATGCACCCATGTGGGATGCCCTGAAGAAGTTCCTGGTTCCTGGCTTCGGATCAGCATAGCATAGCATCGGCCGTTGCGTTCACTTGGGGAGTGAATCATCGGACAGATCTTCCTCTCTGTCTCTCCTCCTCTCTGTATATCTGACTTTCATTTTTTTAATAGCTGAGTAGCACTCCAGTGTAGATGAACCACAGTTTTTTATCTAGCCCTCTGTTAATGGGCATTTAGGTAGCTTCCATATTCTTGTGATTGTTGATCGTAGTAAAAATGACCATGTTGCTCTTCCATATACCAGGTCTTCTGGTTGTATTCCTAGGAGTGGTATTGCTGGCTCATATGGTAGGTGGATTTTTAATTGCCTAAGTATTCTCCGTATTGACTTCCATAGTGGTTGTACCAGCCTGCATTTCCACCAATAGTGAAGTAGGTTCCTTTTTCTCTCAGCAGTGACTTTTAGGAACATAGCTGGCTCCCTTCTCTCTGTTCTACTATTGTAGGTTTTGCCATGTGCCCACATCTCTGCTCACTCTACACAATGTGTAGCTTCAATGTCATTTGTGTGCTTACCTGTAACCCAGATCTTTCCTCTGGACTACAAACTCAAGGCCAAGTCCTGGCTATCTTGACTTCCTTTCCGGCACTTACTCCCCAATCGGGGGCACAGCGCATCCTCATTGGCAGACACCATTGACACTCCCAGGCCCCTTCAGGGGGCTGCCACAGTGCACTTTCTACTCATCTTGCAGAGGACCCTGACTCTAAACCAACTGCCACTCTGTGAAGTAATTATCAATCCTGATTTTTCTCTCACACCTTTCAATTAGCCACACCAAGTCTATCTATTCTATTTCAATATCTCTTCCACTATTGTCCCTGCAGTGCCACTTTCTACTTCAACATAGAAAGTATCTATTTATAAAGTTGTGTCCCTGCAAAACCCGTCATTGCAATCAGAGATAATTTTGAAAAGTGTTCATTGTTAGCTAAGGCCTCTGATAGCACTAACCTGAGCTCTAAGCAAGAAGGCACAGACCAAGACTATCTTCTGCACTGGGGCACACCCCCTACCTAACATGAGGACGCTTTTACAATTTTGTAAGAAATGGAATTAGAAGATAAGATTGTTGTTGTTGTTTTTGTTTTTGCTTTGTACAAGATGAGGTTTTTTTAAAAAAAAGATTTTTTTTTTTAATTGCAAAATCAGATATACAGAGAGAAGGAGAGACAGAGACGAAGATCTTCCATCTGATGGTTCACTCCCCAAGCGGCCGCAATGACTGGAGCTGGACCAATCCAAAGTTAGGAGACAGGAACCTCTTCCGGGTCTCCCATGTAGGTTTAGGGTCCCAAGGCTTTGGGCCGTCCTTAACTGCTTTCCCAGGCTGCAAGCAGGAAGCTGGATGCGAAGCAGGGCTGTCGGGATTAGAACCAGTGCCCATATGGGATCCTGGTACATTCAAGGCGAGGACTTAAACCACTAGGCCATGGCGCCAGGCCTGGCGGTCACAAGAGCTGTGTGGAGGCCACTGCTGGATGTTTGGCTGGCGCTGGAAACGGATCGCTGGAGCCTGGATCGCCGGGATCTGAGTTGCTACTCGCCGACTGCTGGTGGGTTCTTCGGTCCACTACAACACTGCTGTCTCGTTTCCGCAGCTTCCCTGTGTCCAGGGGAGTTCCAGGTGCCCCCTGCTTACTGCCTGAGCCCTATTTTTCCCCTGAAATCTACTTATTGTACCTCTCCTTGCCTAAAGACTCTCCATTCCACCAAACGCGTCTGCACTCTACGCCGCCATCTTAGAATCATCAATATATAGGTACATTTTTGATAGTGCTGATCTTGCTGGAACCTGTTGGCTGCTAGGTCTGAGGACCACACAGACCTATTTTGACCTGTGTAATGCTATAGTTAGTATTATTTTTTGATATCGGACCAGTGCAATGCACTGAGCTCAGTGAGTTTGCTCCCAGCTTAGTGCATGCGCAGCTCACTTTTGTCCCTGCAGTCTTAACTTCTTTTCCACAATGGAGTCTGATATGCCACTACTAGAGTTCTTGATCTGCTGGCCGACAGGTCTGAGGGTTACCCAGACCTATCTTGGGTGGAACCTGCAGGCTGCCACCTTGTTACAGTTTGCTGAGTCAGAAATAAGTTCACTTCCTGCTTACTTTACATGCAGTATTGTCCATAGCCCTTGCCTGTTTAAATAAAATGGTGTTCGATACAGTTCTGGAATGCAAACTGGGTTGTGAAATCCACCTTGCTCCTGCACTCCTTGTCTGGGATCTGCTGCTCTGTCTCTGCTTCTGGTCAAATCAAACTACCAGCAGGGCAGGCAGTTCTTTGGTCCACTGCCTGAGCTCCTGGTAGATGTCACTTCCCACTTGGTTGCTGGTGTAGTTCAGGCTGCCGGGTGAATCTGGATTGCCACTCGCTGAATGTCGCTGGGTTATCATCACTGCAACAGCACACCGTTGTGTTGGTTGTTTTTCTTGTCTGTCAGTCTCCAGGTATTCTCCTGTGCTGTTGTTCTGTCCTCTCCTATTTCCTGGAAATTGCTCTCTCTGCTCACATTGGCTAGTATTTCTCTGTTGTTTAAACGTGTCCTTACCCTATTCTGCCGTCTTGATTCTCCACATCCACACAATTTTTAAAGTAGTTATGACTAATAGAAAACATGTATTATTTGTCTTTTTGAGTCTGGCTCATTTCACTTAGCCAAAGTTTCGTCTTTCTAAAATTGCCTATAAATAAACTTCTAAATAGAGCATAAAGAACTTGAAATCTGTGGGTTGCACATTGGCTCACCCAGCTAATCCTTCTGCTCCAAGCACTGGCATCCCATATGGGTGCCAGTTAGTTTCACAGCTACTCCATTTTGCATCCAGCTCTCTGTTTACGGCCTAGGAAATCAATGGAGGATGGCTTTAGGATACTGCATCTGCATGGGAGACTTGGAAGAAGCTCCAGGCGTCTGGCTTTGGATTGCTTCAGTGCTGGCTGTTATGATCATTTGGAGTGTTGAACCAGCAGATGGAGGATCTTTCTGTCCCTTCTTATCTCTGTAAATCTGTCTTTCCAGTAAGACTAAATAACTCTTAAAAAGTCTTTAATTTTTTAAGACTTTACTTTTTTTTCCCATTTTTAATTCTATTTTTTGGCAATCTTTACATAGTTAATTGGAGTAAAAAGGTTCAAGGGCTAGAGGAAAGTGGCTAAGATCATTATTTCCACATTGTTTCCTTCATGTGTCTGAAGTAAAGGGGGTTTTAAAGGGAAAAGCCCCACCCAGTCTCCCACCCACCCCAGGTCCCTAATGTGGGGCATGCTCCGAGGGTCTTATTCAAGTGGTTTTGATAGTTCAATAGTTATGAATTGCTGCCAGTCTCACCACTCCAATCA